TATGTCCTTACCGTTTAATGGTTTTGTCGTAATAATAAATCTGTATACAGTTAAGTAATTGATTAACTAGATCTGACTCTATAGGGGACGGAGGCAGCCACTGGGCAGTTGTGTCCCTCCACAGCACACTGCTCTGCCAATAATTCCCTCAGTTGGAGAGGGAAGTACACCTGAGCTACATATGTAACATTCTGGCTTCATTGCACAGCTCCCAAGGGAAATTGGGCTGCAGTTACTGAGGAGAAGTTGCTTAGTGTATAGTTCAATCAAACTTAGCCAAAAGTCAAGGGTGGCCCTTGAAAGAAAAAATCATAGGCAGAAATAATACTCAACATTAGAGTATTTGGCAATGAGACTGTTGATAGTAGATTTGGACACTTTCTGTCTCTTAAAATTTGTCCTGGCACTCTTTACAAAGTCAAGACTACAAGACTTTTGATCTGTTTCATCAGTAGTGAGATAATATTGCTTTCAGTGAAATTAAACAAGGGAAAAACTTTGCCTTCTTGAATTTAAGGGAATTTGACTTGGATTCTAATTGATCTGGGAATGACATTCTTAATACCGGGCAAAAACTCATGGCTTGTAAGAATTAAGAGTATTTTATGTTGCAGAATTTGTGGCATCCTCACAGCCCTTTGTTGATGGACTGGCACATAGGAGGAATTTATGTTCAAGCTTCCCCAAAGATGCCAGCTGTCAGCAAATTGGGCACTATTCAAATTGTGTCCTAGGAATGGCTATAAAGCACTTTGAAGAACTGTGGAGGAGGAGGAGGAGCCCTTTGGAGTTCTTAGGCTCTTTGGTGAGGGCAGTGAAGAGTATAATTTAGAAAAGTACCAGAGTGGGAAAGAGAAAATGAGAAAATCATAGATATCTTGAATTTTGGTAATCTGTAATTTAGACAAAATATTCTTTGTTTTGAATAAAATTCTTCATAACTGTCAAGAGATAAAATCTTTGCCTTTATGCTGAATGCAACACATCTGTGCATTGCTGAGGTTTGCTTTAATTTTTTTTAAGTGGGGGGAAGGAAAAAGGAAGAGAATCCCCTTTAGGGACTTAGAAATTCATGTTTGGGTGTCCCAGAGAATTTACCCAGAGTCCAGAACAAAAGGTCCCTTTAGTGCTATTTTGTGAGCTGTAATCAACTGTCTCCTGAGCTTTTCTGCAGACTCAACTTCCTGCTCTTTTTTTACCACCATCCTCTGAAGCCAAAAGCTCCTATTGCAGCTGTGTGCAGCAGAATCTTACTAAGACCTCATTTGATTAGCCATTACAATCATAAGGGATGGATTCAATTACATAGCTCCTAACATCTGAATGATTCTCATGCTTCCTAAAGAAAGATTTGAGAAAGTCTCAGTGAGCATGTCTACACGTTCATTAACACACTGTAATTACGGTGCATTAAGTTTAGTGCCTGTAATAACAGGTTCTAACTTAATGTGCCGTAATTGGCACTACTGCGCATTAGTTCAGATGAACACTTTTTATGTGATGCTTAATGTGCATTGGACTAAAGCTACTGTGCATTAGCATATTAGCACAGTTTTTGCCAGACATGCTTATGCACAGTTGAATTAGTCCAGTGCACGTTAGTGTCTCACCCATTAGCACCTACTTTTGGCTCATGCTCCTCCGTGAAGAAAAATCTTTTCCTGTTTGTTCTGTGTATTGTCTGCAATAAACGCACCAAATAAAGGAGAAATTATTGCCTCTATATATCACCTGTGCTTCAGCAAACAGAAGAAATGAGAGGTGTGCACAGCAATTAATTGATTTCAACTAAGTGATAGGGAAAATTATTATTTGCAAAACAAATAATACACATAGTAAGTGCCTAGTAGGATAGATGGATAAAAAAGATATCTGGTCTATATGGTAATATCATAGCTGTGAGACTATCTCTTGTGTAGTTTGATTGGACTTTGATCTCACAGTTCATGTCATCAGCAGAAACTGGAAAGTCATAATCTAGTATATTTTTCTGTTACACAATTCATAATTAATCTATGGAATTCATTGATCCAAGATATTTTGGGGACCAGAAGCTAAGTAGGATTTAGAAAGGGATTATAGTTTTATATTCTAACTGAACAAAAATATTAATCAAATCCTTTAAAACTGCATAAGGGCAAAATACAAACACAAAAACCCTTAAAAGGAAGGAAATAATTGGGTAAGGGCATCTTATTTATAATGTCTTGCACCCATGCAACATAAATACTCAGTGTCGCTGGTAGGCGTTGTAGGGCTTAGCCCTTTCTTGGTTGGTGCCTCACTCCTCAGCAACGTCAGAGTGAGATCCGAGTTTGGCACCACTGTGGTGGTTTGGGTGCTGCTCTTACTTTCCTGCCACGTCTTTGATGTTCTTTTGATCTTTTTGTGGGAGGCAGTTCCCTGTAGATGGCCCAAGGGGATCTCAACCCTGGGTTTCTTTGTGGAGCTCCAACTTCCCCTTTACCCCAGCCTTACCACATCCATGGCCTGGGCAGACACTGCTCAGCCCATGTCTTTCTCCTGGATGATCTCGCCTCATCCACGCTGCCCACCTTGATGGGTCGGGCTTTCTTGACCGTCAGTCCTCCCAAGGCTGTCCCTTGTCTTCGGGGCGGCTCTCGGGCAACTAAACCTGCCCTATCCAGGGTTAACTGCAACTGTGAAAACTAACTGAAAATGGTCAACGTCTGCCAACGGGCTACTGGGTTTTCATCTCCCAGGACACTTGGTCATGTGGGGGACTCGTCCGTCCTTCCCAACCTAGTAGGCATGGGGATGAGCAGCCGCCCTGTGCCCAGCCTCTGTCAGCCCTCTTGGCACAACCTCCCTTGGGCCCAGCTGACCTGTGGCTGGGCTGTCCTGGTCCCACCAGCTGGTGTCATTTGCTCCCCTCTCCCGAGGGGTCCATGATTCTCTGCACCTCTCTCACTGCCCACCATGTAGGGGTGTCCGCCATCTCTCGGGGCTGTCCCCTGCCACAGTGCCTGAATTCCCAGCCAGAGCCTTACTGTTTCCCTGCATCATTCTGGGGTGTTGCTGCTCCCCAATGGGGCTCCCTGGCCCCCATCTGTTCCCGGGGCTTAGGCTTTCCAAGTCGCCTGTCTGGGTCTTCCAGCAGGCACCTGGCCTCTTCCTCCGTTGCCTGGGGATTGTGCTCCCTGGCTCTGCAGCCCCAGCCTCTCCACCGGCATTTTCCTCTTCTCTTCCCGGCATGGGCTTAGCTCTGTCCCCAGCTGCTTCTTAAAGAGTCCATGCTTTGCCCGAGGCCATACCCTTGGCATCCACCAAGTCCTAGGCTCAGGCAGTCCCAGTACTGCTGAGCCTACCCCAGCATCTCTCCCCAGCTGCTGCTCTTTGTTGCCCCTGCGGTAAGTATTAGGGCACATGGGGGGGTGTCTGGGGCAAGCCGGGGGGGCTTTTGCCTCCCCTCTCATACTCAGCCTTACTGACAAACTCTCCATCTCCATATGGAACCTTCTTCCACCTCCAAAAGGCAAAAGCAGACATTGGACAAAACTTAGTAAGTCCTTTTGCTCTGTAATACAAAACTTTATTTTCCATATCATAAGAATATCCATAATTATGTTAAAGAGAATTAAAGATTACAAGGAATGCATGCTTCAGAGCAGTAAACAATCTGCAGCTGGGTTGAGTTAGGAAGATACTTTCTCCTTGGGTAGGTAATTATTATTATTGGAGATAATGGGATTTCTAATACTTTCTTCTGAAGCATCTGGTATTGGCAACTGTCAGAGGTAGCTTATAGGATGAGGTGGACCATTGGTCTGACACAGTAAGCTGTTTTCTAGTTTTATAACCCAAACATTATAGTTGATAATAATGATAAATTATCAAAA